CCCCCCATACAGGGGGATGTTTGACGAAAAAAAAATAAGGAGCACCCCAGAAATAATCCAAAAATGCTCCAAACATAGTCTGGGAACAATTTTTGTTAGTATTCTCTGACCCTCTTGGAGTATTTTTGGGGGTCTTCTTCTTCTTTCGTCGAGAATCCCCCTGTAGGGGGACACGCCCGACGTAAGGTCGGGCTTGGGAAGCCCAGCGGATCGCACGGCAATCGCCCCGAGGTTGCCCGCCTCAGGCGGAGGACCCTCCCCCGACGTCCGGCGACACCGCTCCGCAGGCAGAGAGCGCCGACGGGTCAGAGCGTCGACTGCCATCGACGAGGGCGACGGCTCCGACGCCTCGCCAATTGGGAACGACGCTTCTCTCGCGACCCTCTGCAGCAGCAGGAAGGTCGAGCACAGCGACGGAAGAACAGGGCCAGGCGGAGGAGGAGGGAACAGCCGGAGACCAGTCGTCCGCCCTCGAGCCGCGCCTGCGTTCGGGTGCCACCACTTGTTTCGACGTGGGCGCGTGGCGGGCCTGCGGCGCGACGTTGGGCAAAAGGGCGCTGCAGCTCCAGGCGGTCCTCCCGCTGCCTGGGTGTAGCTTCCAGCAGACGGAGTACGGCGGCCGCGGCCCCCTTGCAGGAGTGAGTCAAGTCGTGGACGGTGTTCGCTTTCGCCGTGGGGGCCCTGTGCGGGGCGGAGCTATTGCACATCCGGCGTCCGTCCCTTTCGCCCTCATCTTCCCGCGCGCCAGCCCACGCCTGCGGTTTTCGATTGCCCACACGGCTCTCGGCTATCCACTCGTTGCGTTGCCTGCGTTCGCTTGCTTGAAGAGCACGCGCGCGCGCCTGCTTGTTGTCTCATGTTGTTGCCAGCTTCGCACGAACATGCCATTTGTACTGGCCAGCGCGCTGCAGCGTGCAGGACGGCTGGAGAAGTCGGCAGATACGCCGCGGCCATGTGCGTCGATCGCGGTCTTCCGAGCAAAGATATTGCGATCGTTCCAGCAGACGGTTGGAAGAAAGCTGGGCGGAGAGATCGTGCACCGAAGCGCAATGTTTTAATTGCTGGTGTCTTGCCACGCGGTTTCGCAACAACAGCACTCGTACGCCATGCTGTTCACGAGGTCGCGTGCGAGCGAGGATAGGACGGGGAAGGCATAGAGACGGTGCGCCAAGTTTGCCATTGTAGCCTTGATACGTGAGTGCCGGTAGAATCGAATGTTCATTTTGGACTCGCGAACACCATCTTGGCTGCCAGCCAACACGGGAACATGCGAGTCACTCGTCGGTGCAACATTTTTCCGAGGGGGGGATGGAGAGAGGGAGAGACACAGAGAGAAAGATAATGGCATCTATACATCTCCATATGTATGTATGTACGTGTGCATATATGTGTGTATGAATGTGTGTATGTATGCATGCATGTATGTATGCATGTATGTATGCATGCATGTATGTATGTATGTATGTATGTATGCATGCATGCATGCATGCATGGATGTATGTATGTATGTATGTATGTATGTACGTGTGTGAGTATATATATATGTATATGTTCGTATGTATCTATAGATGCATGTATGCATGCATGTATGCATGTATGTAGTATTATGTATGTATGTTTCAAAGAGAAAACAAAGAGGAGGATTGGGACAAGGTGGACCAGCGTAGACCCAAGACGCCCAAACGAAGTTGCATTAAACCCTCCCTCCAAGCTCCCTCGCCGTAGGCCGCTACAATAATTAATTTCCATGGCTTGAAGCGCCAGATTGAACACACAGCCGCTTGAGAGCCCCCAGGCATGCCAGAACACCGTTCCTGGGGCGCGGATGCCGCGAATCAACAGAAGTGCTGGGCCATGACAAGCGTCGGTCGTGCCAGAATACCATGCCTGGGATTGCCACACCGCGAATCAGCGTGACTTCTGCAGCCCGGCAATCCGAAACCGTGCCGCAACACCGCGTGTGGCTTCTCATCTTTACAATCCTCAAGAGAAATTGCGAACGTTTCGGACGGATGCGCGAGGCACGAAGGCGAGAGCCCCATTGCAAAAAGCAGGCGCCTCCCACTCTTGAGGCGATTGCAAAGTGTTCAGAAGAATGTGCGCGGCGCTAAGGAGGGAACTGCATGTTCAAAAGCACCCGCCCCCCATCCTGGAAGTGGCTGCAATGTGGTAAAACGAGGGCGTGCCGCGCTAAAGCGAGAGCCACAGTTTGAAAACCGCCCGCCTTCCATCAGTGAAACTGCGGCAGACGTTTAAGACGAATGTGCGCGGCGCTGCGGCGAGAGCTACAGTTTGAAAATCACCCGCCCTCCATGTTTGAAATGGCTGTACTGTCTTAAGACGAATGCATGCGGCGCTAAGGCGGTAGCCGCATTTGAAAAAGGGCCCGCCGCCCTCCGTCCTTAGCCGCTTCAGAGTTTGAAAACGAATGTTCGCGGCCCTAAAGCGAGAACCACATGTTGGAAGCAACCTTCCTTGCATCCTAAAACATTGTTAGCAACAATGTTTTAGGATGCAAGTTGCAACAGTTGCAAGTTTCAAGCTCCTGGATCATAGATGAGATGGTGAGGGAGTCCCAGGCGAAACGCCCGGCCCGCCCTACACACGCGCCTGGGGGTGCGACAAGAGGAATGAATTATAATGGAACAAGGTGGAGGAGCAGGAGGAGGAGGAGGAAGTGGGGGAAAGGGGGAGGATGGGCCTCCTTTCCTCGCGCTCGCTCGATGTCATTCCTCCTCCTTCTTCTCCTCGTCTTCCTCCTCCTCCTGCTCCTCCTCCTCCTCCTCCTCTTCCTCCTCCTCCTCAATGTTCCCCGCTGACCCTCCCTTGAATTCTTGTGTTAGGCCAGTCATCTTGCCGCGGGAGGCCAGCTCGCGACACGTGTCTGGAAGGCCACGTACGCTCCTTGCCAGTCACGAGCTACATAGGCAGAACCACGAGGAGGAGGGGGAGGGGTGGAGACGGAGAAGGAGCATGCTTGAGGGGATCGGCGCCCCGCTAGCAAACCCTCGCAATAATTTGGCAACGGCGTGCAAATTGCTCTGCCCTCATCCTCCCGCTCCTCCCGCCGTCCGATTGTAATAAAACAGGTTAGCTCGCTTAGGGCGAAGCGCCCAGCATCGCAGGACGACCGTGGCCGCGAGTGTATTGCGAGAAAAACGCAGTACCGAGCAAGGGCCAGTTGGCACGACCAACGTCCGCGGGTGGATCGATTCGCGGGGACGGACCCCCCGAGAGGACGGACTTTTGCGGCGAGGTTTGGGTTGTGATTCGTAGCAGTGGTCTTGGGAGAACAGCGATCGCCAAGAGACGTTTCAGGCTCGCGTCACCTTAGCTGCCTCGATACGACCGCTTTCAAGCGCAACACGTACCGTGCTTCAGATGTCCGAGGCAATACGTTGCGTGTTGGTTGAGCGTGTTGGCCCATGTTGGGCGACCGTATCGCGTCATACCTACGTTTTCTGTCTACGCGTTGAGCCCCGTATAAATACGATATGCGTTGCGTGTTGCGTATCTGGGCAGCTAAGCGCTTCACCGACCGCGCATCGCCCATGCGGGAGGACGAAGAGGGATGGGGCCGACGTGTCACTGACTGCTCCCAGGCAATTTCTAGCTAGCCAGGGCGGCCGTTGACGCCACACCTGCCCCCCCGCCCGATTCCCACGAAAACCCTGGCTGTCGCACGTCCCTCGTGTGCTTCCTCTTGCTGATGCTGTTGCTCCTCCTACCCCAAATACCTCCTCCTCCTCCTCCATGCAATCTGTTCCAACTCGCTCACCCGAGCTTCCCAGGACACAATCCACTTTCAAACCGCGCGGCAGGCTTACCCTTGCAAGGTCAACGTCCTTAGTTTGGGTATAGCGAAAGGCGTAACTTAAAGGGGACCTCACCCTCATTGGATTGACGCTTTCTGGCTGGCTGACATGCGCGAGGGACTGGTGGTGGGGACATAAGCGGGGCCACCGTGAGAGGCATGGATCATCGCTAGATTCAGGGACCTTGCGCACTGTGGTTTCAGGTCTGTGGGCCCGTGATACTTCAAATCACAGGAGGACCTTCTGGTATACGCAGGAGGCGTTTGCAAGCACTCTCGTTCCCCTGCCCTTTCTCCTCCTCCCAGGTCGTCCTCTCCCATCTCTCCTCACAGTTCTCTGCCGCCTCCTCCTCCATCCCACGTGTCATAATGTTACCTGACTGCATCGGAGGGAAGCCTTCATTCTTATCCTGCTCCGCCTTCTCTTCCTCGTCGTGGCGGCGCCACACTTCTTATAACACAACGGGATTCTCAAAAAGCTCGGATGCTTCCGACAAGGCAGGCGGCCTTCCAAGATGCGATTCCATGTGTGATGAAGCCGCCAACCTTCCGGCTCATCCTCTCTCCGTCCTGCGAGGGTTCAGCATGAGTTTGGCTGATCGCCTGTGAGAAGAAGCGGAGGAAGGGGGCGAAGGCGACGGCGACGGCGACGCGGGACGAAACCGTCCAGCAGAGCGGTGTGCATGCCGCAGTGCCGTTCCCTCAGAGCGCGCTGGCAACACCCCGAGAATTGACGAGGCCTCGGCCTCTGGCCCAGAGGTGCGCCGAGGAGGAGGACGACGAGAGGACCCAGGTGAGGAGGCAGGAGGACGGCGATGAGGCCAGAGGACGACGAGGCACCCGCCCTCTGTCAGAGCACCCACAGGGCCTCTGAGGGTCGACAAGGGAGCGGGGCCAGGAGGGTCGACAAGGGAGCGGGGCCAGGGGGCGCCGAAGGCGAGAGCAGGCACCTGCCCCTGTGCAGAGGCCGGAGGCAGCCGCAGGATCTGCGCGCCCGGACCCCGGCGGCGGTCCGCACCCAGGCGCTGGTGCAGGACCCGAGCCAGGGGAGGCCGGACACCCCGCCCCGAGAGACCCCCGAGCGCGCGAGCCGCGGGCCCTCTCGCGGCCCAGAGCTCCGCCGCCCGCCGCGCCAGCGCGTCGGCCGCCCCGACGCCTCCCCGACGCCAGCAGCCAGGTGCGCCGCATGGCGGGGGCCGCCCCAGCGAAGCCTGGAGCCTGCCGCTGGGTGGCCGCCGCGGCGGCGGCGGCCCTGGCGGTGGGCAGGGCCCTCCTGAGCTGCCCGGCGCACGGGAGCCCCCCGGACACCTCCGTGAACGTGGGCGACAGCGGCTGGGAGGAGGCGCTCCGGCGCAACCTGGCCGAGCACGGCTACGCGCACGTGGTGGGGCTGCTGAACCGGAGCGAGGTGGGCAGCCTGCGCGCCCTGGCCGAGGACTACTGCTACGGCGCGGTGCGGAGAGCGCTGCCGCTGTCCTACGGCGGCTACAGCGTCCCCGGCTTCCTCGACCTCCCCGAGTTCGAGCGCGCACGGTGGCTGCCCGAGGACCCCCGTGTCCACACCCTCCTGCGGGCCGCCTTCGGCGGCACCGACTACCGTTTCGCCTCGCACAACGACGTGGGTTGCGACTTCGTGGGGGTGTGGCACAAGGACGTCCTCCGCGGGAACGTGGCAAGCTACCAGGACTGCGACGTGTGGTCCAGTGACGGCGCCGGCGCGCGGCACGAGGTCTACAAGGTGATGTTCTATTTGCAGGACCACGAACACGACGAAGAGGCACTCAAGGTGATCCCCGGCTCCCACGTCGAGCGTCGAACCCCGTGGGAGAAGGGATACACCGCACTGCACCCCCACATGGGCGACACGGTCATATTCGATCAGAGGCTGTCGCACGCTGGGAACACGTTCTACAACCCTTTCTCCAAGGGGCGCCTGTTCATGCAGGTAGGCTTCGGCCGCGCCAACAGGTTCACAGACGAGTTTGAACTCGGCACCATCCAGCGCCAGAAGACGTTGCAGGCTAGGATGCTGAGCTCCACTGGGCAGAGCAGCGCGCTCGCCAAGCATTGGGCGGACCTCCGGATGGCCGCGACCGGCTCGCTGCTCACGGCGTTGCCGCCCTCGCTGCTGAACCACTTCGCAGACGCCGAGGTGAAGAGGCACTCGGCATCGTCCAACCTATCTCCATCCCCACTGGGCCATCGCACCTCAGCTCCACCAGCCCACCCTCCTACAGATGGGGATGAGCCCCGAGCAGCCCGAGGGAGCAGGAATATATGATCGCGGGCTCTGGGTCCTCGGGCCCCCCCCCCCCCCCAGATGGGATGGGTCCCAGGGTCCTCGACCCCCCCCCCCGGAGGAGGAGGATGAGGAGGAGGAGGAGGAGGAGCAGGAGCAGGAGCAGGAGCAGGAGGAGCAGGAGGAGGAGGAGGAGGGACGACGACGACGACTGTGACGACGACGACGACGACGACGACGACGACGACGACGACGACGACGACGACGACGACACGACGTCGACGACGACGACGACGACGACGACGACGACGACGACGACGACGACGACGACGACGACGACGACGACGACGTGACGACACCGACAACGACGACGACGACAACGACGACGACGACGACAACGACGACGACGTCGACGGCACCACCAGCGGCGGCGGCGACGACGTCGAGCACCGGAGCTGTCAACATGACGCCAATCCCAGCCACACGCCGCACCCACACCGCACCCACAGGGTGGGAGGGGGGGGGGAGGAGGACCATGGCGTCACCCCGCACACACCCACAGCAACACACCACGCCCACACCACATCCACAGGGGTGGGGGGGGAGCCACCACGCCACGCCCACGCCCACAGGGGGGGAGAGATGGGGCATCGCGCGGAGGGGGGGGGGGGAGCGATGGCATTAGCGTCGGGGGGGGGGCAACCCCTCGGCCATAGATCCCCCCCACCTTGGTGGGCATGTCGGCCAGCGGGGCCAAGGCCGAGCGACGGAAGCAGACTGGGTCGACTGCGCGGACCACTCGCGCGTGAGCCTTTCCCTCGCCGGGCCGCGCTGGAGCGCCCTCCTCTCCCACGCGGCGCCGCCAGGCGGGCGGCACGCGCGAGCCGCCCCAGCGTCGTGACCTTTTCGTTACGTCAGACCCCCCAGATGTCATAGGGGAGGAGGAGGAGGAGGAGGAGGAGGAGGAGGAGGAGGAGGAGGAGGAGGGAGGAGGAGAGGAGGGAGAGGAGGAGGAGGAGGAGGAGGGAGGAGGAGGAGGAGGAGGAGGAGGAGGAGGAGGAGGAGGAGGAGGAGGAGGAGAGGAGGAGGAGGAGGAGGAGGAGGAGGAGGAGGAGGAGGAGGATAGGAGGAGGAGGAGGAGGAGGAGGAGGAGGAGTGGGGGCATGCGGCCCCCTGCTCGACCCACCCAGTCCCGGGGACCAGTGTTTTTCACGCTGAGTCGTTTCTTGACAGTCCCGGGGCCGGGTAAAGGCCCCCCAGAGGTTGAAAATAGCAGAAGCCCGCCCGCCGTCATCTCAATCGGACTCGAGCAGGGGATCGACTACAGAGTTGATTCATCCCGAGCTTGACTTTTTTCTTCGTCGAACCCACGAGAAACTCGTCGAATGTTCGCAGGTCTGCGAGCACTCTACGCATGACTCGACGAGGCACCCCCTTCTGGGGCACATCCCAATGCTGTGGCCGATCCCCCTGCTCGACCTGACTCTCGAGGGGGGGCCTGGGCTCGCCGGCTCACGCCGGCGGGGCGAGGGATCGGTGAGGACGGTGCGCAGGCACGAGAGCCGCAGCTGCGCGGGGCGGGCGTGAGAGGGGCGGCCGGGCGCGGCGGGCGGCCGCGCCCTCCGCGCGCGCCTGGCAGCGGCGGGGCGGCGGCGGCCGGCCAGCGGCAGCTCGCGGCGGCGGCGGCCTGCGGCGGCGGCCTTCGGATAGGCGGCCCCCGGCGGAGCTGGCCGGGGCCGGGGAGAGGTCCAACGACGCGAAGGATCGGGACAAAATCGGATCGGGATAACTCGAAATCTCTGAGAATCGGCGGGTTTGGAGGATGTATTGGGCGCCGCGGCCGCTCCAGAGCGTTCCGGAACGCTCTGAGAGCGCTCCGGAACGCTCTGGAGCGATTTATCCCGATCCTAGCATTGTTTTAAGAGGGGCAAGAGAGTCTGGCCGAGGGGGACGGGCACGGAGAGGAGGGGGTGGAGGAGATGGGCAGCCGCTCTCCTGTCCACTCTGAGCCCGGTTCGCTGTCGGCGTCGCCGCGGGCGGTGTCAGGCGCCTGCCCAACAGCAGCCGCCGTCGGTGTTGGGCAACATTCGCTGTTGGACATCGTGCCCATTTTTGTCCGTGCCGATGTCGGGCGTGCCAAAAGCCAGAGTTGGGGAGATGAACGAGAGAAAGCCCCGAAATCCGACGGTATTATTTTTTTACTCGCGGTGCTCTTCCTGCGTGTCGGCCTCCCGCGGGGGCCGCTCTTCGGGACTCGGGAACCAGGAGGCATGAATCTAGGGCCCAAGTTTGCCTACAGAGAAGGGGTCGGTAACTTTGGAGCCGCGGATGGAGCATTTCAGGTCTTAGCGGGCGAAGAACGGCATAACATAAACTGTTTCGTCGCCAGGGGCGCCTGTCCCAGGGTAGCTGGGAAATTTATACCCTGACGGTGGCATAGGGGTACAACCTTTCAGCCGCCTTGGGACAGGCACCTCCGACGGCGAAAAAGCTTACGTCACACCGTTCTTCACCCACTGCATAGTCAGGGGCGGCCCAACCGACCCCTAGCGAGCCATCCCCTTCTGTGACATCCCCCTCGCCTCGCCCCAAGATGTATGTATGCGGCTGGAGGGGAGCTCGAATTCCGAGGATGACGTCATGGAAGGTGATGGTTTGCTCGGGGTCGGTTAGGCTGCGCCCGACACAGCCGAGGGTGCTTGGGAAGGGCCGCGCCCACGTGCGGCCCCCTCGATTCGGTGGTGTGTCGGCGAGGCCTGGGCCTCCTCTCAAGCGCAGAGTGCAGAGGGGCCTCCTCCTCCTCCTCCTCCTCCTTCTCCTCCTCCTCCTCCTCCTCCTCCTCCTCCTCCTTCTCCTCCTCCTCCTCCTCCTCATCCTCCCTCCCCTCCCTCCCTCCCACCCTCCCTCCCTCTCTCCCTCCCTCCCTCCCTCCCCCTCTTCCCCCCTTCCGCGCGCCCCTGGTCTCCTCGCCACCTGCCCTCGCCGACGGCGGCGGCGGCGTCGTCTTCGTCAAGCGCCTGCCCGCGGAGGCCCACAGCAGCCCAGCGGGCGCTGCGGGCTGGTCCTCGACCCCTGGCGGAGAGGCGCCGCTCTTGTCGTCGTCGTCGTCGTCGAGGCTGTCCGAGGGCTGGGAATGGAGGGAGCTCTCCCTGGGACAGCAGCAAAAGCATAGGCATCCGGATCTCCGCGCGGGATTCTTGCGTCGGCGCTGGACCTCCCATCTCTGGCGCGCGGGGTCCAGCGCCGACCCCGGGAATCCCCGCGGACCTCTGGAAGTTTAGGTATGTGCTGTGATCTCTTCTTGCACAGACGCTTCTCCCGCGCGACGTTGCCTGCCTTCCTCGTCAGCCCGGGCCCCTCCCAGCTCGCCCCGCCCTTCCACCGCCCCTCCTCTTGCATGTCCCCCCCCCCACCCGCCCGCCGAGTCCAGGGCCCGCTGGGGCCAGGGCTGTCCTCGGCGGGGGGTGTCGAGAGGCGGAGAGGGGAGGACGGGCGGAAGGAGGGGAGGGAGGGAGGGGATGGAAGGAGGGAGGGAGGGAGGGAGAGAGACGGGGCGCGGGGAGCGATGAGCGGGGGGGTGCGGGCAGGGCAAGAGGGAAGAAGCAACAGCAGCAGCAGCAGCAGCAGCAGCAGCAGCAGCAGCAGCAGCAGCAGCAGCAGCAGCAGCAGCAGCAGCAGCAGGTGGAGGAGAAGCAGGAGGAGGCGCAGGAGGAGCAGAGGCAGGAGCAGCAGCAGCAGCAGCAGCAGCAGCAGCAGCAGCAGCAGGACGGCCGAGAGACAGCGGGACGCGGTGCCGCCGCAGCACTGGCGGAGGCGGAGGGGGGCGTGGAGGAAAACGAGGGGAGAAGCGGCAGAGGGTCCTGTGCTCTCCGCCGCGGTGCCCGTCGCCCCCTCGCGACTTGGGCCCCAAACGCCCACCAACTTTTGAGCAGGCATGCTCCATCGGGTGGCACCCGAAAGCCGCCACTTAGCCGTCGAGAAGCCGCAGAAAGCCGACCGGCAGGCTGCAGGAGCTGGGCTCGACAGGGGCGAGCGGGGGCGGGGAGGGGGCAGCGGGCCAGGGAGCCTGAGCGCTCGAGGCCGCGAAGGAGCCACGATTGGGAGCTCCCACCCCCCCCCCCCGCCTGGGGCACGCGAGGAGGCGGGGCAAAGGAGGGGCGTGTCGTGGCTTTCCCCCAGCGTCTGGGCTCCGAGGGCAGAGGGGGCACACAGCCGCGCGCGATGGAGCAGCCGGCCTGGAGTAGAGGGTTGAAGGGGGCTCTCTCGTCGTCCTCGGCAGCGGCCTCGTCGTCGTCGTCGTCGTCGGCGGCGGTGTCGTCTTCATCATGCGCCTGCCCGCGGAGGCCCACAGCAGCCCGGCGGGCGCTGCGGGCTGGTCCTCGATCCATGGCGGAGAGGCGCCGCTCTTATCGTCATCGTCGTCGTTGCCGTGTTTGCCGAGGTTTGCCTGAGGGCTGGGGAGAGGAGGAGGAGAGCGGAGGGGAAAGGGTGAGAGGGAGGGAGGCTGCCGAAAGACCGCAACCTTCAACAAAAACACGGCCGGAGCCCTCGCAACTCCTTGCGTCATCTCTCGAGCCGGATCGCGACATGCGAGGGCCCCGTTGCCCGAAACCGGGCGGGAACGCTTGCCGTGAATAGGTTGCGACGCGCGGATCTCATGGTCGGCCATTCCCCTGCGCAAGCGTCGAGGGCCGAGGAGGAGGATTGAAGAGGAGGAGGAGGATTGAAGAGGAGGAGGAGGAGGAGGATTGAAGAGGAGGAGGAGGAGAAGGAGGAGGAGGAGGAGGAGGAGGAGGGGAAGGATCGAGGAGGAATATCGAGGAGGAACATCGAGGAGGAATATAGGAGGAGCAGGAGGTGGGAAGGCTCCTGGCCGCAGGCGGGAGGGAAGGGAATCCACGGGTCTCAGGGGCAGCGTTTGGGGGGTAGGCTCAGGGGTGACGCATCGACTCCCAATCGCCACGGCGCACTGGGAGGGTGGAAAGGGCGGCGATGGGGATGGTGTCAGGAGCAAGGTTCGAGGTTCGAGGTTTTCGGGCGTGTTCTTCGGCTCTCCGCGGGCTCCCAGGCTCGGGGTGCGTTTGTTCCAGCAGCTGCGCCTCGCCGACGGCGCTCCGGGAGAAGCCCGCGATGGCCCGCTCCGCCGAAGACCTGTGCGGATGTGCTGCCGGGGCCCTGCATCGGTCAGGAGGGGACAAAAGCACACAGACACAATGAATCGTCGATTCCCCCGAACATATGGAAAATCTGGGAAGTGGGGGGGAAGACAGAAGCCCAGAAAATATGGGGAATCTGGTTATTTGTGTCTATTTATTTGTGTGTCCCAGTTCCCCTTCAATCGGCGATGTATCGCCGATTCCAGCTCGACGTGCCCCCCCCCCGCCGAGCTGGTCCCCCCCTGCCGCTGCCCCTCGGGCTCGGGCGTCTCCACGGTCGGGGACTGCTGGATGGCGTCTGGCTCCGCCGGTTCTGGCCCAGCCACTTCCAGGCACCAGCGTCCCCAGTTCCAAGCGCCAGCGTCTCGAGTTTTTCCCAGTCTCCCGCCCCGCGGAGCGGAGCGACCCGCTATCCGCTTGCAGGGCATAGCAAGCCGCCGGGGCCGCCGCGGCGACACGCGACGCAAAGGTTCCTGACCGTAGGCCCGCCCGCGATAGTGAGGTGCCCGCTCCTGGCGAGCGGCCCGGCCTGGCGGGAGGCCCCAGAAAAGGGCCACCCAAAGCAAGGAGAAGTTCTCATTGAAGGAGGAGTGGCACGACGACGACGAAGACGAGAACGGGGACGAGAATGAGGAGGAGGCGGAGGATGACGACGACGACGACGAGCTAGGTGATGAGAACGAAGAGGAAGGGAAGGCCGGAGGAGGAGGAGGAGGAGGAGGAGGAGGAGGAGAAGACGACGACAACGACAACGACGACGACAAGCTCGACGACGAGGTGCAGGTGCAGGAGGAGGAGGAGGGAGGACGAGGGCGAGAAGGGCGAGACCCGGCGGGAATCGGAGCAGGGAGAGGAGGAGGAGGCGGAGGAGGAGGGGTTCGCCGAAGCCGGCCCTTCCTCTCGGAAGCCCCGCTCTGGGAGGACACGCTCCACCTCACCGTGACGAACCACGGCGACCCCATGGCCCAGGGCGACGCCCCGAGGCCCTCCGACTGCGCGCCCCTGCCTCCCAGATCCTCCTCGGACCCTCGCTCCTCTCGCCTGCCTCCTCCCCTCCTCCTCCCCTCCCTCCCTCCCTCCTTCCTTCCCCGGGCGTCGGACGCTGTGATGATTTGAATGCTGGTGCCTTTACTTGATTTCGAGGTCGGGGGCCTCCCGTCATCGGGCCCTGGGACCCCAAAACAATCCGGGACGAAAACTACTCCAGGGGAAGTGGTCGGGAGCATTGGGGCCGCGTTCCGCGTTCTAAAATTTTTCGACAAAGAGATCCACAGATGTACATGTCATACTCCTGTCATGTTTTGCTGGGAAGCTCCGTCTATGAGCGTTTGGGTGTGAGAGCGAGTCTGCGTAGACGACAAGTCAGAGCCCCGAATCATCAGGGGTAACTCGGGTCAGGGATACCTCGGGTTCGTTTTTCGGGAATCCAAG